GGCTTTATCAGAGTAACATTTGTGAGCGCTGAGAATGGCCTACAACTGTTGAATGCTCGCTTCCTCTCTCAGGACTTCGGCCACGCTCGGCATCTGTTCTCCGCCTGCCTGGAGCTCGTCACCGAGTTCTCCCCGAAGCTGAGGCAGGTGATGCTGAACGAGATGCTGCTGCTGGAGGTGCGCGCGCACGAGGCCATGGCGGCCGAGGGCAGCAAGGAGCGGCCGCCCTCCGACCTGGTCAGCCGGGTCCGAGGGTACCTGGAGATGAGGATTCACGGTGAGGATGTGAAGGGACAACGTGCAGCAGTTTAAACGCTTGCTCTCACCAACCCCAGACCCTGCAAGCCGCATCGGCTGCACTTATTTGTGTATTTTTGTCCCCAGATCTGCCGCTGCGTCAGGTGGTCGGAGAGGAGTGTGTCGCCTTCATGTTGAACTGGAGGGAAAACGATTACCTGACTCTGCAGGTGCCACAATCTCTGGTCATGAACAACCCGTACATCAAGGTAAGAAGAAATCCGAGGGCTTCATTCTAGATGGATGCTTTCTCTGTCCGTCACGCTTGTTGTCTTCTGTGATTTTGATCGTATTATATTGATGCTTACTCCAAACTCATTGGGCTACTGTAAAGGATTCGTATGCTCTGTAATGGTACGATCTTCAATAATGTATATATTTCAGATGCAATTTAGCCAGCTGCAATCATAATGGAAAGAAATGAGTTGTTGACAGTAAACTCCCATTGACCATAATTGCTCTTGTAGGTTTAAGTTTTTAATACAGAAACAGACACATTTGCGGCGCTTGAACCGCACAACATGCTTTTTTTGTATTCCTATAATCGCATGAATGGATACGTGTTTGTTGCCTGTCCACCACCAACACACAGACGCAGTTAGCTGATGATCATAGAGGATCATTTACCAGATAGAAAGCCACGTACTCCCCCAGTCAGCGGAAAAAGGAGTTAAAAGAGTCCATGTTGGACATCCATTTCTCAGATGGACATAATCTAAATAGTATAATAGCTTGAATGTAAGTAGGAAACTGTTCTCAGCTCCTTGCGCCGTGAGGTTGAAACAGTGAGTTAAATGGACCCCCCTCCTTACAGCTGGGTCAGCTGCTGGCGTCGACGTGCAAGGAGCTCCCGGGTCCCAAGGAGTGCCGGCGCACGGCCAAGGAGCTGTGGGAAGCGGTGGTGCAGATCTGCAGCGTGTCCATCCAGCACAAGAGGAACAACGACGGCAGAGTGGGCCTCATCAAACACAGAGAGTCCTCCATGGGCATCCTGCACCGGTACGCCAACTCTCGTCCTTCCTTCAGAATGATTCACTGCAATTATATGTTGGGTATGAGAATCGTGCTCATCCTGTTGCACTTTCTAACCCACACAGGAGCAAATTCATCACTTTCATCAAGAAGCTCAGAGTAAGTGCTGGTTTAACACCAGTTAACCCCACGGTGGGCGTGTTTCATTCTCGCTGGGTGACGGGCCGTTGATGCGGAGCTAACGAGTCTGATGTTGTGTCTCACAGGAGCCGTTGGTGCTGACGACCCTCATCTCCCTCTTTGTGAGGCTCCACAGCATAGTGCGGGTAGGTCTCCACTTTGAGCGCTTACATTGTTTTGCACGCAGTCTCAAAGACGTTGTGGGGTCGGAGGAATAACCCACAGCACGGCGGGGGGGGGGGGGGGGGGGAACTGAAAGTGCACACATTACATAGTTTAGTCAGACACGTGCACAGATAGACACCTAGTGGTGCTCAAGCACCTGCCCTTTGCCCCGGATAGGAAAAGTGCCCCTTCTGCTGGAGCACAATTTTTCTCTTCATTCGTGAATATTTAAGAATAACTTGGTGATTTCAAAGCCTTGTCCAGCTGTTTACTGACATTTGTCATGCGCAATGAAGAGGGATACAGGCAGAGAACTTTCATTCATTTTACAAATTAGACAAGTTCACTAGTTTTGTTTAATTTAATTATTGAAATGAAGTGTGTTGAGTTGAGCTACGTGAGTCTGGTGAGGTGTATTGCGGTATGTTATTAGTGTAATGCTGCTTATGCTTCAACTCTGTTAGAAACTAAGTAACGATAAAGTACTGCCTCGCCTCGAGTACCTTATTGCTTAAGTACAATATGGCCTTGTTTTGTCAGTTTTTTCTTGTTATTCATTTATTAAATTAGGTAGTTTAAAAAAAAAACGTTGAAAATATCATACTATGTTATTTATTTATTAATATGATTTTTTTATTTCATAAACAATTTGAGCAATCTGTCCCCTTTTTATTTTGGCTTGAGAACCTGCCCCCCCAAAATGTCTGCACGTGCCTGCATAGTTTGATTGTAGGTTGGTCGCTGTTGGGTCTGGACTCGTAAAGTAGTCCTGCGCTGCTTCTCACAACGCGCTTTCTCTCTTTAGGATGATATTGTCAATGAAGTGACGGCAGAACATCTCTCCATCTGGCCTTCTACGCTTTCAAAGTAAGACACGTTTTTGTTAAAAGATTTCTCAAAGCAAGCCAGTAGATGTGACCCGTGTGTGTGTGTGTGTGTGTGTGTGTGTGTGTACCAGCATTCAGGCCGTAGACGTTGAAGCTGTGGCTGTGACTGTCAAAGAGCTGGTGTCCTATGCCCTCACCCTGAACCCTAATAACCAGTCGTGGATCATCACACAGGCGGATATCTACTTTGGTGAGAAGCAGCCCAGCAACCTTTTGCCCCATCAAACACAAATCCACGTTAAAGACTTCCACCGTAATACGGCGTACAAATACTTTGGTACAAGCAAAAATCATGCATTTAAAATTTGCATTTGGATCAATACTATTATATATAATTATATATATAATTAAAATGTGTTCATTGATTTTAATATTGCAGGTGGTAACAATGGAGCTAATTTAAATAACTTCCCCTTGGTACCCCTCATGACCAGTTATGTCTTTTATTTAACCATTTTCTATTAATAATCTAAATCCAGGTCTGAACATTGACCACAACAAATTCCAAACTGAAATAACAGTTATCAGATAATTCAACTGGCCGGCCAGCATCCTCGTTTGAGATTGGAGTGAGACCAGGAGAAAAGGTGATAAGATGCAATAAAGCCTCATTGTAGTGACGTGATTAGTCTCGGCCAATCAGCGTTGATCTCTACAGCGTCTTCATCGCCTTTCCAAACGGCTAAACTGGCTCCAACGACGGGTGAAAAGTAGCAGCTGTGAGATTCCCGGAGGTCTGTCGGACTGAAGCCGTCTGCTTGTTTTTTGCAGCGACCAATCAATACTCCGCTGCGTTGAACCTTTACCTCCAGGCCGGAGCCGTGTGCTCGGACTTCTTCACCAAAGCCGTCCCCCCCGACGTCTACTCAGACCAGGTAGTTCACACGGGGAACATATCAAACCCCGACTTCGTGTTGGACACTTACAAAATAATACCACAACCTGAGAACTGTAAATTGAATCTAATAAAACGGACTGTTGTGCGCAGGTCCTGAAGAGGATGATCAAGTGCTGCTCAATGATGAACTGCCACACGCAGGTCAGAGGCCCATGCAGTCTCGCTTTAAGACTAATTACAGCTGTCAATCACAAGTTGGGTTGGTTAACAGCACGATTCCTGCAGCAGAGCTTGTGGAAATGTCAAAGTGACCCGAGGAAGAACCTCTGATTGTATTTCAGCTTTGTGTGAAATGCTACGATTGCTCCGTGTTCAACTAGTCCGTCTCTGGTCCTTGTTAGGTTGCCGTTCTCTGTCAGTTCCTCAGAGAGGTGGACTACATGACGGCGTTTAAAGCTCTTCAAGAGCAGAACAGGTACGTCGGGACACAGCAGCGCCAACGCCACTGCGCCAAACATCTGACACTTCTTTTATTTCGCCAGTCACGACGCCATGGACTCGTTCTATGAATACATCTGGGACGTCACCATCCTGGAATATCTCACTCGTATCCTTTTTAGTTGGTGAGGCCAAATAAAGGCCGGCACAGGTCTGGCTCTTTATGACTGGACGTGTTGGTTCCCCCTGAAGGTCATTGTAGAACTCGCTCACAATGTTTGTCCCTGACTGGGCCGGCAGATATTCATCACAAACGGGGCGAGACGGAGAAGAGACAAATAGCGGTAAGCAGAGAAAGGACGTGGATTCTATACAACAATCATTGTGTGATGAATTAGGTTGTGCACTGGGGTTTAAAATGGCGTATAGAAATTTTACACATATTTTGTCCTTTAAATGAACCAGATTTGGTTTCAGTATTCACTACAAATACGGACCTGGGAGCGTTCATGTGCAGAGGTTGAACAAAAGAAAAAGTTTAACAGATCTAGAAGTTGTGTGAACATAATTTAGTGTAGTTGGTTGCAGACTGAAGTTTTACATTCCACATAGGCAGAGAAAAGTCATGTGTTGGAGGCTGAGCTAATTTTTTACCCACCCCAGATAAAAGCGATCGGACAGACGGAGCTGAACACCAGTAACCCAGAGGAGGTGCTGCAGCTGGCTGCCCAGAAGAGGAAGAAGCGATTCCTGCAGGCGATGGCCAAACTGTATTTTTAGGAGAAATGTGGAGCACTGTCAAGACTTTCGGGGGGGATGTACATTTTATTTTGTAGTAGAAAATAAATACATGTTCATATGTACACTTGTAGTAATTAAAAAAAAAAGTATCCCTGACCATCCACAGCCCTGAGTTACACAAACGGCGTCCAACGCGCTTCACCAGCAGGGTTCACTGCGTTTAAATTGGCGGCATAAACAGCTTTTCAAATGACCCTGAAGCAGCGTTTGGATCGGAGCACATAGTTCTATATTCTACAGCGGTCCACCATTGCTCACTTTCAATAATAGAATATTTTCTAAAAATTACGATTGGGACTCATGTTTTTTTTCTGAATTAAAAGCACCATTTTGCTAAAAAAAGAAGCTTTTCTTAAATATTTGGGATAATACATTCAGTTAAAAAAACCATTCACATCAGCAGGCGTGAACTGCACTGCACTCCAGGCTCTTTCCAGTAAACGAGAGTCCGTCACTTCCTGTTTCCTCCGGAGCTTCCCTGCTGAGGTTCAGTGTGTGCAGGACTTCTCTGTGCTGTTGGGAGGAGTGAGGAACTGGCTGATTTCCTCTTTTTGACAGACGTCCTAAAAATAAAGATAAAAACGTTAAACCAGAAACTATATACTGTAGCGTTGTTTCATATTTCATTAAATATATATTACGGCAGTTGTCTTTGGCGGTAAAGGATTTAGTTCATTCCTCTTCCTCAATCCTTTTGTGTACGAAGCATTAACGTTAACCAGCTACGTTTCACACTTTAATAATTTTATATAGTGGTGCATTAAATGTGAAATTAAACCCAAATCAAACAAGGATCGAGAATGGAACAATAGCTAAATATATCCATCCCAGTTTAAACCAGACCTGTGGTTTACAATCATGTGAAACAGGATTAGTGCGTCTGGCCAATTAAAAAAAGGATGCCTTCCGTGTAACCAAAGAGAAAGATACCAACCAGCATGCTCATGTAGTTTGTGTGCATCTGGACATCGTGTCTGTTTTCTTCCTTTATTCCCGCAAAATCCTTCAGCGGCGCTCTGCCGAACCAGTTCACAGACTCCACATAGGGAGCCATCCAGTCCACACACGGCTGGACGGCGTCTCGCGACAGGCCTGAGAGCACAACGTCGTACTGCAGTTAACACCGGGGCGCTTTTGACAGCGGATCAGGTTACTCAAACAAATACTGTGATATACTGCGAAACCCACAGAATCTGCAACAAGATATGCATTTTTAAACCCAAGAATCACAAACCTCACCTGAAACCGTCTCAGCCGTTTCCCTTTGAATGAAATGGCTCAGGACGGAGGCAGCCAACACTCTGTACTCAAAGTCCAGAGAGTTTATGTTGAGGATACACAGGTCTAAGAGCTGGAGAACGAAAGAACGGCGGTGGAAACAATTAGAGAAAGCTCAGATACCGACAGAGGAACGCGCCTTGTGAAAGGTTCCAATGTGGAGTCATGTTGAGGTTTGTGTGCTGGAGCAACGTGAAATCCAACCTACCCGGGCCATTTGTACATAAGCGTCCTGCGGGAACTGCGGCTCCAGCAGGTCAGAGCCGGCGCTCATTGACGCCAGCTGGAAGTAGAGCTTCAGCCAGGAGATGCCCGTCTCGGGACAAAGGTTCCAGCTCAGCGCCTGTGCAACAAGCAGCGACTAATTATAACAATGCATTTAAAAAAAAACAACTAGGCAGACTATATTGAAGCATAACGAGACCAAACGTAATGGTTACCTTCAAAATGATTAACTCCATCTGAAGAATCTCCTCTTCGTAGTAGGTCCCTGCAGTCACGTAGGCCATCTGCAAGAGCGTCGGAGGATGGGCTTCCTACCACGTCACAAAATAGTAAAGTCACATCCATTAGAAATGTGTGCGCACATCGATTGGCGTTATGCAGCCAACAGGCTAAACGCTGGTTCTCCTCAGTGTCATTTAGTTTAAAGGATTTGTGGAAGATGAACCCTGAACTGCCGTGGCCGCTCACCTCCATCTTTGATGCTATGAAGAGACACGTGATCCCAATGAGCTGCAGCATGCCCTTCTCTATGTTGTCCTGGGTCAGCATGAAGCGGTCAAAGTAGTCCTGGGCCAGGTAGAACGTCTGCCGCTGCAGAGTGTAGGCCTCGCTCACCTGGTCAAACGACAAAACCAAAAATAATAAAACGTCTGAAGAAACAGGAAAAGCCTAGAATGAAAATGTTGTATCTGGCCTAATGAAGTTGAATTAAATGTTAGGAAATTAAACAACTCTTAATACATCAAACATGGTGGATGAATAAAAAGGTGCAAACTCACTTTCTCATTTCTATTGAAGCATTTAAAACAATGCAGCCCTAATGCTCACCACTCATTTTCAGGTTATTGGCGGAGCATCGAGTAACAGTCAAACATTTAGACACATTTTCTTATTCTTTTCAATGAGAAAGTGTGTCCAAACTTTTAAGTTGTACCGTATAATTATTCGGAGATGAATTTAATCAGTTTGAAGCACATTAGGCGGCATAAATGGGGGCTGCTGGTTGAGGACGCACCTCAATTAGCCAGTCGAGGAGTATGGATCTCATTCTGGGTTGTATTTTGGGGTGTTTCTGCATGAAGTTCTTGCTGTGTCTGTAATTCTTCTCCCTGTCGACCATCTTCACCCACACATCTTCATGAGACCCCCATCTGCAATACACACAAAGAGGCACAACAATCAGTCGTGTTCAATAAATCAGCAAAGATTTTGATGATCAACAACATTTGTACTTAGTTTACTAGCTTATTACAAGTGAGACTTCTGCTGCACCGTAACACAATGTAAGATGGAACATGTTATATTATATTAATGTCTTATGTATATTCGGTTACATCAAACTGTGAGGGAGACGATAATAACGGAGTCCCACCACGGGCCGCATGGTAATTACCCCAGATTGGGCAGAGGAGACGGCCGCACCAAAGAATGTGTGTGAGGCGGCGCTGCGTCCTCCCAGACTCCCTTCTCAGAGGTATCGATGAGAACGGGCGGCTTGGCGACACCTTTAAGTACCAGCTGGTTCTGTAAAGGAGAGACGACTGAATGCAACATGCGCATGTATAACAAAGAGCTGTGAGGAGCATGTGATAGCGACTGGCCCCTTTGTGTGGGGGGGGTCAGAGGCTCTTTGCTGTTGTTTTCTTTTCATTCTAAGGTCGCTGTAAACAGGCTTATTTAGTCACACATACTTGGATATAATACCACTGTCCATACTGTATTCACGCAGCCTCTGGGTGTTTATTACATATACAACAGTCGGCTGTTATTCTGTACTTTATATATTTTACACCAATACCTGCACTATGTTCCTGTGGTTTACCATATCATATTCCTACAGTGTTCATGACACCTGTTTATTCCACATCCTGCGTTTTATTCGGTTCATTACCGGATGTCACCCATCCAGTGATATTAAAGTTAGTCTAATTAGATAATTAAAGAGCCACATACCTTTTCACACTGCAGCTTTGACAGAGGCTGGGCCTTTATCCTGTTGCTTTGCTGAAAGACGAGTACAATTATAGAGTTGCATGTTAGACCTTGTTGAACGTGGTCGCATGCATGATTGTCCACGTGATGACTAATGGCTCGTTACCTTGGTTACTTTGCCTCTCTGACATGTGGCGTTTTCAGATCTCCTCAGCAGGCGAACGCTGCGAACACAACCAACATGAATCAACACAGAGCTTTAAAAACAGTCCAGAGTCAAATCCACAGGGGCTCATTACCTTCGTCTAGACATCTTTGTTGCAGCTTCTGCAAATGAAAAAAGAAAGAAAAGTCAGTGTTTGCCAGCAACGTCACCAGGAGGTCGTCCCTCAGGTGGACAGCGAGCAGCTGCTTCGCTCTTCTTTCCGAAACACAGAAACACCCCACATTGTTTCTGGGATTAGACCTCCGACCTCTCAGTACGCGCCAACATGATTACTGAGCTACTGCTAAACCACACACACACACACACACACACACACACACACACACACACACACACACACACACACACACACACACACACACAGAGGATTCAGACTGTAACACGATTCTGACATAAAAGGGACGTGTGTCCTCGAGGTCCATCAGTTGCAGGAGATGAAAACGACCGTGAGGAGCACAAAGAGACACGCAGCAAAAGCCCCCCAAAAAGCTTCAGCGGCCCCTTCGGTGCCACAACAACACAAAGGCCCCGGGAGGACACAAAGTCCAACTCCTAACAAACATAGTCAACGAATACCAGCCAATCCACATGCTAGAAACCACTCATCCCTTATAGCTTTACTTTATTCCAGATGCAGAGGGATCGTCATTCGACTTGTTCGAGCGCAACCAGGAAGAGGCTGCGATTGGGTCTCTAGAGGCAGCTCCTGCGCACTTAATGCTAGCTTTGCTAAAGACGAACACCCGGACCGCGGACCAGTCAGCAAACATCGGGAAATATAAAAACACACCGCTGCTCGGCTTCGCGACCACACAGACCTGCAAACCAGATCCGTGGGAGTAATTGAGGAGGCACAGCCAGGCGGCTCGGGGAAGGAGCTCTGTCTGTTCGCAGTTCGGCTCGAGCTTCAAATCAAATTTGATTTCCAGTTGGCGCTGGCGCCAACAAGCGAGCGTTAGCGACACATTGCGCATGTCTATAGAGGCTCAACACGGGCATACAGGGGTCAACACTCACTTTGTATGCCAGTTGCTCTACGTTTGAGTGTGTTTTGGTCCATCGTCTCTTTGCTGGAGTTTCAACCTTCGTAAGGCTTCGAGTGGTTTGTTCTCAAAAGCGTAACGCTAACTAGCTAAACCAGCAACACATAAAGAAACCGTCCATTTACTTAGGCTCCTTGCCGAATTAGATGTGTGCTTTCAGCATTAGTCAGTCCCAAAAATGGTATAGCAAAGTTATAAACAAAATAAGACATCTTACATTCACTTCGTCCTTTCCTTTTTGAATCCGTCAGTTGTATTTTCCGGTCGGCTGTGACGGACGGAGCTACAGGACAGCACAAGAGGGCGGAGCTAGATAAATAGTACATGGGGGCGGGGCTACAAAACGGCTCAGCAAATAGGAGAGCGAGTTGAGTTGAGCGCGTGCTACCGGACCAGGATGTAAACAAAGCAGGCAGCTGTCAGAGCTGTCATACAGCATTCACATGAAACGCAGCCTTTATACATTACATTTCTCCGCAAAAATAGATGCAAATCAATTTCTGGTACCAAACATTTTTTTTTACTAGAAAATAAATAATGTGGACATGCTAGACCTCCGTTTTATGTTTTTATTGTGTCTAATAGTCAGTGTGTAATAATTTGAAATGAATTGTCGTCAATTTCTTTGCTTTGCCTACTCTGGTGATTCCAAAAATGTATACAATCTATGGAACCAAATACGGGTCAAAAGTTTTGATCATTTGAAAAACATGTGAACCTGAAAGTTTTGTTGTTGAACATTGATATTGAATATATTCAAAATAAAAATATGTGGACGAAAAGTATTTTTGGGTTGAATGTAGTTTTTCACTTATATTGTTGTTTTCGCAAACTGTAAACCTGTCCGTTAACACCGTAATTAGTTTTACTGTAAAATGATACCCAACCCCCGACTAAAAGACTAACAAATTGTAGCACTTAAATTGTACTTATAACGCCACTTATCTATAGCAAATTGTAAATTGGCTTATTTGATGAAATTGCACTTTCTTGTTGCTTGCTCTTCTGAGTTTTTATCCCTATGGTTGAATGCACTTATTGTAAGTGGCTTCGGATAAAAGCGTCAGCTAAATGACATGTAATGTATATTATATACTCTATGTGAGTATGTGTCCATTTTGTAGCTCAACATATTTTCCTTACATAATATTAAATAATAATATAATTTACTTTAGCATCAACATCAAACCATACAATATTTAACATCATAGAAATAAAATATTTTATATTAGATGATTCATACCTTACACATACATATGTACACTAGTCATTTTGATATTATTTATTTTTTTAAATATTGAGGGCTAATTGACGGAAGGTAAATGATGTGCGTCTGATGTAAAAGGCTTCATTGTGAATGTGGTTTAGTCCTGCTAATTTATCTGTAACAAAGCTGCAGGCTTCGCTTCCTGTCGTGATGTAAATGGGAAGTTCTGTCTATCAATTACAGATCGAGTAAGACAGGAAGCCACACTTGGTGTCAACAAGCTGAGCAGAAAAGAGGCGACAGAAGCGGTCTCCCCCTCTCTGCCTACAGTATGAAGCTGCTTTTACTTCTACAACTGGGCTGTCTGTGTCACGGTATTGTAAACAGTTTCATACATTTATACACTTTTCACTGAGGTCTGGAGTGAATACGGCTGTAACCAAGACAATACTAGATTTCGTTTTGGCGTTTAGATTTTATGCTTTTTATCGAAATGTGTTAACACTATCTGCACATAAACTATGTAACGTCTTTAATGGGAATCATAAACAACTTAAATAGGTTGAACTATTGGTGTCAGTGACATAAAATTGTACAATCAGACGTTATTCTTTTTTAAAAGATGCTGATCGTCAGAAAATTAATTTACCCTTTACATTTAACATGCACAATGAAAGCTGCAAACTACTGGCAGAAGTATCAGTATTCAGGGTATATTATGAGTAGCTTCCGTGCATAACTTTGGTCCAAATATATTTATTTATTTTGGGTGTTTTGAAGTTCACAAATGTGTTGGAAAAGTTAAATAAGAGAAGGTTTGGAGGGTACATTATTTTTTTATTTTTAATATTTAATTTGCCTCATTTTCAACGCGTAGCCCTGAGAGCATGACAAGTTGTAATTCACTACACATATTGGAAATTGCTCAAAAATAATTCCTGACGCTTTGGGGCTCTAATCTTTAAAAAACTCTACAAACAGAAACATGAATACAAAATAACTGAGTGTTGTATTTCAGTGGTCTTGGCACGTGTCTGACAAATAAACCTCTGAATTATTTTAACCTATTGCTTTGGATACAGTCGCAGGCAGCGTAAGTATTGATGATTGAAGAAGAAGATACATGTGGAAGATCACATTCGCCGCAGATCATCTGTTGGTGACTTGGTCTCGGAGCTTTAACCACACTGCACTCCATCCTCTTGCTGAAAGTCAAAAGTCAGACTTTGATCAAGCCGTTATTCATCAAAAGTTCTGTGGTGGACACGTGTGGTGTGTGGGAAGTAGCGGGTTCAGACTTGATGCTCAAATTGGTGCTTACAATGGAACTTAATTTGTCCTACCTTCGTTTTAGCTTTGAAAAAGCCATCCACTCAAACAGACTCAAACTGGTCTCCATGTGACAGCAGATGGAAATAATACAAGCGGAAGAGTACAAGAGCAATTCAGCAGTAAGCCGCATTATTTCTGCCCTGTAAATGTATTGTTCAGGATGATAATCTTTACCTCTCACACAAACAAACACAGTAGTTAAATAACCGTTTGTACTACAACCTTTCTGTTCAGAACTGGAATAAACACGTAATGCGGAGACGGCATGAATATTCTAGCTCTTTTTATCACAGGATGTGGGGTGGCCCCCTTCTCAAACGCATGATCTTGGTGAATTTTGCAGGTGCAAATTGTGAAATAGCAAAGCAGCGTCTCTCCTACGCAGGCACTGGTAGTTTCTGTGTGGCTTTATGATCAACTGCACGACCTCAGCTGCGCCTTGTTGTGCCAGAAACATCTCATTCCCACGCGGGTTACGTTCACCAGCGAGCACTCACGTCTCACGCGTTGTAGTTTGAGTTATCTGATGACATGTGTTTTGTGTCATATTAAAATGTATACATTTAAAACAATAAGGATTAAAGATGGGGAAAAAATTGAATGAAATCCGTCTATATTTACTAATTTATTCATCACATATTTTATTTTTTGATTCAAGCTATTTTGACAAAAAAAGGTTTAAAATGACCTCTCATCTTATGAGGAGGGAGCCTGAAAGACGTATGAAATAAATACCCTTATTTTGCAGCATGTTTTTTGACGCCAATCACATTTAAAAAGATCTGACTCAGAAATGGATGGTAAAAACACGAGGTTCAGTCATTCATTATAAACGTATGGCCGAAAAGTACTTAGGAATCGGCAATCAAAATATAAACAATATTGTATTTTCAAAGTGTGAATAATTAGTAGTAGATTTATATGATTTATTACTGTCAGTAAACATCAATTGTACAAATCTGGCTTTTTATTTATAAGCAACACGAGACACATTTGACATGTTGAAATAAACCCACTGTTTGCTGTTTTGGCAAATACGGTAACTGAGCTTTTAAAGAAACACAACTACATATATGTGCCGCATTATTAAAGATTTACTTCTGTAGAAGAAAGTCAGAAGAGAAAAAGCTGAACGTATTAAAGAACTGACCAGAATAAGAGCATTATACTTGCTACCTTTGAGTTCTACTGTAATAATCAGCACATACGTGTGTGTATGTTATTCTGCGTGTCCTCAGGTGTCCCTTACATCCACAAACTCGCTGGTAAATGCAGCTTCTCGCTGAGGATGCCTGGAAACAGTGATGTGGCTGCATTGCCAGCGGACTCTACAGATGTGCTCCTAGAACAGATGTGTCGGGATCTGGATTGCGGCAGCATCTATGCAGTGAACGGAACCAACTCTCCTCCCAATGCCACCTGCTTTCACGGCTGTTTGTACCGAGACGGTCGTTTGCACAACTGCTCAGAGAGTGTCGGAGGCAACTGCACTGGGGTCGCTGAAGTAATCTGTGGTAAGGTTTCTGACTATATGTAATTCATTTAATATAATATCTGCAGATTATATAATTTTGATGAAAAAAATATTGATTTTATTTTCATTATAAAAATCTATTGTTATATTTACTTGTGATTCAGCCGTGTGGGCCTATTTTTGTCAACGTTTCAAAAGTCTCTTTTACAAACATAACCACCTGTTAAACACTACTTTTACTTTTACATTACTTTATGATTTTACTCCACTATATTTAGAAATATATATAGTTTAGTAAAGTATAGTTTACTTTTTATTCCACTGCATTCATTAGACTGAAGTTAAAGATTCAGAGTATTAATACATAATGTAAATCAAATAATACATGACAATGTACTATTGTGTAACAGCAGTATTGTAGTTAAGTCCGGACCAGACCAGTGCACGGCACACTTATGATAAATTACGGAAACAAAAAGCAATTGAACTGGAACATGAGACACAAGAGGAGACTTTCAAATAACACTGGAATCTAACTATAATGAAGAGCAAGGACACCACCTTTACCAGTAGCAACACGAGTAATGCTTACACATTAACGCATATTTAATTACAAACAATGTATAACATAGTTATTGTGCTGTAATGGACCGTTCTGCATAATGAATACTTTCCCTGCAGCATGTCTAGAACCGTATTATTAACCTTTTACTACTTTTACTTTATTTTTAATACCAAGAAAAATACCTTACACTTCATCACTGCAGAAGAGTGTGTACTGCTTTTAGTGATAATATCTTACAGACATAATAACACAAACATTTCTAGACCAAGTATCCCTATTTGCAAGGATTTGAATTCAGTCTCTTTTCAGTCTTTTGTTCAATTGAAAATCGACAGCCATGATCTCGTCCCCTGCAGGCCACCAGGCGGTCCGGCTGGCGGCGGGGGCGGACCGCTGCGCCGGCCGGGTGGAGCTGTGGGCCGACGGGCGCTGGGGCACCGTGTGCGACGATCAGTGGGACCTGCGGGACGCCCACGTCGTGTGCGGCCAGCTCGGCTGCGGTTACGCCCTCAGTGTGGCGGGCCAGGGAGGCCCCTTCCCGCCGGGCAGAGGACCGATCCACCTGGACGAGCTGAACTGCACCGGCCGCGAGGAGAACCTGTGGAGCTGCCCGGCCGCGCAGGGCGAGCAAGACTGCGGACACAAAGAGGACGCCGGGGTCGTGTGCTCGGGTGCAGTTAAAAGAACCATACTTTAACATAAGCCTACAGAGTTGATAAAACCCCATCAAGAAAAGATTTATCAAGAACTATGGCCGCAATGACAGATGGGATCCTTCTGGAAATGTCCTGCTGTTACTCTAACAGTGCATGTCTCTGCAGAGAGGAGAGCGGTCAGACTGACCGGAGGTTCGGACCGTTGCTCTGGAAAGGTGGAGGTCCACCGCAATGGCAGCTGGGGAAACGTGTGCGACAACTGCTGGAACAAGCAGCTGGCCTCCATGGTGTGCTCCATGCTGGGCTGCGGTACCGAGCCGCTGAAGTTCTCCCAGTTTCTTCCTCCTCTCGTCTTCAACGACGGGCCGCAGTGGTTCTATCAATGCGATCAGAACACGCAGAGTCTGTGGGAGTGCAAAGAGACGGTCAACTCGGCAAACCTGTGCGTGACCTCTAAGGCATCCGGGGTCATCTGCAACGGTGAGGGACACGGCGTTTGAGTATTGAGGATTAAGCATGTTTCTCCGACGTTTTTTTGATTTGGCTTCGTGTAGCTGACAGTAGTTCTCAGAGAACGGCACATGTGAAAAGACCAGCTTTAGCTGGAACATACATTTGACTTTTCTGCTGAAATATCAAATAAATATTCCAAACAGGAATTAAAGCAAGCTGTAAACATATAATTTATTTAATGCAGACAATTGTCCTTGTTCTCATGGTCAGATAATTGTCAGAAAATCCAACAAATTGTGTTCAACCTAAAATATAGTTCTTGTTTTCCTGCAGGTTCCCTTGGGTTTCATGCTGCCACCACACCAACTATGACTAATGTAGCCGTAGCAACCACGCTGACGACCGGTATATATTTTAACTTTGTATCCTATTCAAAATAGACCAACATCAGATTATGTCAATAAATGTTACTTAAAATATCCTCTCAAGAGGGAAAGTAGGAAAACACAAGATGTCTCCGTGTGATGCATTATGTCCAACCATGTGTCCCCGCGCCAAAAGGAGCCCCCTCATTGGTTCCCTCTGAAGGCTTACGGGCTTACGGGCTCCTCGGCACCGTCGCTCTGGCTCTTCTTCTCGTCGTGGTTCTCATCACAAACTCTGTGATCTGCTGCCATTACAGACGACGACACGGTTGGTTCTCCTCCCTTCAGTCTCGCTTCTCTTCTCTGTGATTGGAATTTCCTCCACACGTGGTTCTGCAAGCATAGATTCTCGAGGGGATGCTGCGAACTGAAGAAGGAAAATCTAGACTGTTTTTTGTCTTTGTGAGACTAAAGTAGATAAGAAATAGGTGGTGTGACTTTTGTTCAGCATTCTATAATGATACAGACTTTTTGGGACTTCATTTGGGTGGTAGAGCTGCTTTCTTAAAATTCCATTCTGAATTTATATATATATATATATATATATTTTTTTTTTTATATAAATAAATAGACATACATGTCCATTTTTAGAACTTTATAAACCTAATGAGCAGAGCAATTGGCTTTTTTGATATCAGCGGATCTTAAAATTCAACGACAAACAAGACGCCGAATCCACGTTGTCCAGAGCCCACTAATATGAAGCCCTCCCTTCAGCATGAAGTAAGCCAATAACTATCTTCATCCTTGGTTACTGTGTCCACAGCCATGTTGCTCCAGCAGACTCACGCCAGCCCACGACCGAGCGCCGAACATCACAACAGCTACCAATGCGCCGTCGACCTCGTCAAGGTCACCGCCAACCCAGTGCAGACGGAAGGTCGGTGGCTGAACGTCTCCAGCAATATGATGAATAAAAAGACTTGCATTTGAACACTAGCACAAGTCACAACTTGTTTGGCATCATGCCTTTTTTTCTATATATATATTTATATTGATGCATCGTCATTTCACAAAGTGGTGTACTTTTCTTCTTTGTTTGTCTGAAGAAGTTCCCCCAAACACCAGGTATATTTGGACCCAGCTTAGTAGCGCTGAAAGCACGTCAATAGATACAGACTATGAGCAGTATGAGCAAAGCGATGAGAAGCCTGTCCCTTTATCAACCTTTCGGAGTGAGCTACTTTAATTTATTCCGCTGTGTGTTCCTGTCTTTGCCTCTGTGAACATTTCCTCTCGCTATGTTGCTGCACTTTGCAGTTGTCTGTGTGTGTTTGCGTGTGTGTACGTGCGTGTGATCTGTGTGTGTGTGTTTGTGCGTGGTCTTTGCAGACCTTTGCTGTTTGCACCGAATGTTTGCAGGATGCCTTGTGATTAAAACGCGTGCATTCTTTGGTATCCAGATTCTCGGCGGTACAGAGCAGACGTAAACCCTCTGACGAGCCTCGAAGGCCTCTGCGAGGAATGTGAGTGACAGTTAGTCTGCAAACACAGCATCACTTTGCCCATCTCAAATACGTGCAGTGGCATGTAATCATCAGCAGAGGAGAGACATGCAGACACAAAGAGGGATTTTTAGTAATAGCTGGACTTTGTGAGCACATGTGTTTTCATGCATCATTTACATAGTTCTTTATTTACAACCGTCCACATTTATCTATGCTTGTATGTAATAGTAACCGTGTTGAACACGTTCTTTTCTGAATCTAGTTAAATTGATTTTTACAGGAAATCACCAAGAAATATTTTGCAGAAAGAAAGTCACAAACTAATCTTGACACACAGATTTAACTATAGGAAATACATTAGTACGGTACATTTTTTACCAGAACTATTAATAAATTAATCCATCGCTCAAAATGCGTTCTTTGGTTTGTAATCTAAAATGTAACATTGTAAATCGCCCTGTTGCTACTTAGAAAGGCCATGTTTTTTATTGATTGTTTCGTTAGATCAATTCCTGCACGACCCCAATGCTTGTACACTATTTGCCAAAAGGAAAAAACACTATTAAAAGCCCGTTGAATGATCTCTTTCACAAGAGAGAAATTGTTTCATTTTTAAAATTATTATTATTGTTGGTTTTAAATGATTATTTTCCAGGTCCTGAACCCACGGAGGAGTTGATGGCAGTTCCAGAGGCTCAATATACCACAGTGTCAAAGAGCTCCCGGGACTCATTCAGTACCTCCAGCACCTCCTCTGGGGAATGCTACGAAAACACTAAGAACTATGTGATGGTCCTCCCAGGTCAGTCGCATTCCTGCTTAAGTTAGCTTTAAAAGCACACCAGGATCTGCATGACACATTCTTCCATTCGTTAAATTAAGCTGTCCACTCAAAGATAGATAGCGGCTAGAATATTCACACCGCTGTTATGTTTAATATAAATGTTGCACCTACACTTCCAATGTGTATGTTAAAGGAATAATGGCTTATTGATGTGATGATCGATACCACTGTCATAGTCTTGATGCTAAATATGAAGTTACAGCCAGCAGGTGTATTTTGTTAAGAATTTTGTAATGGTTCTAAATAATCCTTTTAGATAAAATCATTTTAACTAAACCTGTGGGTGTTCTCGAGCACACTCATGACTAAGAGGTGGGAGGATGTGAAGGAAGGAGGCCAACCCGAACCTTTCCCAAGAGCATTCATGAGCTGATGTCATACGACATTAAGGTGTTTCCCTGTGTTCCCACCAACGACAGATCCAGGGCTGGGCCAGTCGTCTGCTGTCTACGACGTCTTCAGCCCTGCAGATCTCACTCCCAGCGAAGGTCCAGTGCACCCCGGGCAAACCACCAACCTGCAGAATTCAGGTCTCACTAAACAAACATGACCTTTTAGTCAAGATGAGACCTCCAACATTTACTGATCTCTGTTGTCGTCTGTTCGTCAGGTGACGAAGACGACGGCCCCATCTACTCTCCCGTTAGCCCGGATCAAGACTCCTCTTCTGAGGACGACTACGATGACATTGGCTCCTTGCAGTAACCACGGGAGGTACCCAGCATGTTGGACTGTAAACGTGTACTGAAGAACCCGATGAGAACCTGAACCTTGACCCCGATCTGACTGATTTGTGACCTGCATTATGATAACCACTGTTTCCTGTTATTTAAGTTACGAACCACGTGTGATTGGAAACATACTGCAGCCTTTTTTCACAAGCAAAAACTGTTTGAAAGCCCTTAAATAGATAATTCATGGATGCTCAGACATTTCACAGTGAGATCCCATCGACTGTTTGCGAAGGAAAACATTTCTGTCCTGAATCTAACCCCGGAGAAAAAATGAGAAGCAAATCTGGATGTTTTGAAAATGACGATATGTGATTTGCGTTGAAAGGTGAGAGCGCTCTCTCTAATGCGCCACATCCGAGCAGTTCCTGCTTTCAGATGCTTCGCTGTACAGATAGAATTTGACAAAAACAAATTCAACAAAATGTTCCCTTCGAAGGACAGACGACTACCAGAAGACTGAGAAGCTTTGCCACATTTAACAGTGGTCTGAATGTGTTGGCGACTGTAATAGATGTGTGTTTTTTATTGGTATTATTTAACTAATGTATCTGCAGAGAGGTTTGTACTCGTATGTGTCCAATCAATCAATGTGCTAGTCTTTGCTTTGTATATTCCTGTGACGATCAGTACGTACAAACTGCACAAAAGTATGCGGACTTCAAAATGACCTCAAAGTTAGAAGCACACTACTCTTTAAACAACATAACTGTTGTTGCCGTAGTAATGACATTTCCCAACAGCATGTAAGTGTCCTTGTACGTTTTAATTGCAGCACATCGCCACAAGGTGGCAGCATGAGCCTGTGGATAACCAAAGGATCCGTAAACACCCTGAAACCACAAACAAACATGTAATCCGTCCAATATTTGCCCAATAAACGTTGTCCGAGCCTTTCATTCTGATGCACATCCGTGTTAATCCACGGAGGAGTCCAAACACCCCTCTGTGAGGAAGGTTCGTGACGGGGAACTGTGGATCCTGATGGCGGGCCAACATAAACCGCCAGTGCCGGACCTGGCACGGCTCTTCTCGGTCCATTACGCCTGCAGCAGCTGCAAAGCATCATCGCTTCCGCCTGATCACAAGTGATGCCTCGAATCAAAGCCATGTCCTGTTTTTGTGGAAGCAAATATGACAAACTGCTCTCAGAAGCACCTGTGAAACCTCTAAGCAGGGCGTAGAGGCACAGAGGATGTCTCAGGGAGGGAGGACGACATCGGCTGTTATTCGACTGGAAGGTATTTGGCACGGGAGGATGAGCGTGTGTGTGTGTGTGTGTGTGTGTGTGTGTGTGAGGGGTGTGAGGACAGAGGGGGGGGGGTCAAAAGGGGGGAGGAGGATGGAGAAGTTTAGAGTTTAGTCGAGAGCTCTGCGATAAACAGGCGAACTAACAGATCTCCTTATGAAACCCAATCTCTCTCACATGCCGGAGAATCCAGCACACTCTCTCTCTCTCTCTCTCACACACACACACACACACACACACACACGCACACCTCTCAACAGTGATTCCATCCTAAAGAATGCAGCCTGATGTATTACAGATCCTCCTCGGACAGTTTGCTTTTGTTTTATTCTGCTCTGGGAGATTGATAAATCAGAATCTGCGGATTTGCGGGCCTGATTAACATCAAGGGGAGAGAAATGCAGCACATCAGTATTTCAAGTAGCTTGTAGTATTTGAGGGATTAGAAGATAAACCCTCTGTTTTTACTTTGTTCATTAAATCAGTTACACACAACGGATTATGGCTCCATAAGTCGCTTAGAGTGCCCCGACAACAGATCCCGCCTGAGTTTCAACTTTTGAACTGTGTGTAGTGCTGGAGGCCGGAGACGACAGTACCTGGCTGCACACACACACACACACACACACACACACACACACACACACACACACACTCACACACAGCCGCTTCGAGTTTAACACACAATAAGAAATATGATATAAGCAGTATCACCATAGTTATATACTATAAACACATTCATGTTTTTCCTCCTTGTTTGATTAATGTTGTGAGCAGTTTCACGGAGGAACTATTTACATGTATTTCATACAAAGTTCCAACACGGAACAGCTCACAAAAAGGTCGGTGAATTATACTAAGCAACCAGCTCGTGATCTCGAGTTTTTTTCAAATGTATTTTTTTTTGCACTTTGAGATGATTGATAAATAGCTCTACAAATAAGAGGGGACATTTTTGTTGTTGATTTCAAGGTGAACTGTCTCTTGAAATGTCCTATCAAGAACCTTTTCTGTTCTTTATTTAATATTTTTTGTTCATTACCTACAGCTTCAGTAGCTCCGTTGTCAGGTCATGACCTCATTATGGATAACAGGCGGTTCTGTGTGGGCAACAACATTTATCTACCCCCCTAGTTACCCAAATGCTGCAGAATTTCTTAAAACACTAAGTGATCATTTTATGACTTTATTCTTAACTGGTCATCTTTCATCTGGTCAAGTTGAGTCGGCTGGTTTTGCGACCATTAGACTTTGCGTGCAGAAAGGGACTCTTGATTCCCTGTGAGACCTTGTTTGTGTTGCTCTTGGCCTTTGCATTGACGCTGCTCTTTGATTGCTGCAGGCATGTTGCATGATGGACTGCAGCCAGTGAAATACAGTGATGTCATTAGTTTAGAGCCCAAGATGCTTAGAGACCCGGGCAAAAAATCCACCTCAGCGTATTAATCAAAGACCCCCCCCCCCCCCCCACACCCCCCTCTACGGCATAGTAGTGGCAAAAGAATTATACTGCTGCCATTAAATACACTGTTATTCCCTTTCTCCGGTCACTCTGTCAGTGAATAGCTGAGTAGCTCGGCTGTAGACGACATCCCAGCCTGCGAGACCCGGTAATAGTGTTGATTACGCCTCACTCATTAGGGTGCTTTCACTGGCGCCGCTAAGCCCTCATCAGGGAGGTTTTGGCTGAGCGGCCGGGCAGGGGCCCTGATCCAATTCACCTTTAAAGTTCAGTGGACCTGTCTGGGTTGCCACGGGTCAGTGCATCGCTCTCCATGCTGTGCACTCCCAGAGAGGCCCTCGTTACCTCATTTCCTGTTGCTACTGTACCAGACAAGCGCTTCAATCTCACGGTTTGCAGTAAAGTTTGCAATGTTTGCCACAGACGGTATTTTCATATTATTGTATTTTGTTTTTAAAAAACATAAAATAAATTTGAAAATAAATGTATATATATATATATATATATATATCACTAAATTTCCATATCAGAAAATCTAACATCATTTTAGAAAATAAATTGACACAAAAGTATTTTTTTTTACATAGAACCATTTTGGATGAATATACCACCGACCCAATTAGATTATCTTTAGCTAGCACCAATGGGCAATTGTTATTTACCCAGTTTTGAAATGATGGGTATGTTAAAAACATGCGTGTTTTGCGTCTCACAGCCACCATAAGCTTCTCACAAGACACATTTAGTCTGTATGAAGAAATTAATCCCAACTTGAAAGCCGCCGGTGGCAGTGCAGCATTTAGCTTATTAGCCTTTTTTCTTCTTCTTCTTCTTCTTCTTCTTCTTCTTCTTCTTAGCACCTCGCTGCATTTAACAGTCTGTGGCCTCTTCCCCACCAAGAAACAGCTCCCAGTCAGGTCAATGCTGCAATTAAGCTGCTTTAAACTTGTTCAGCGGTGCCTGGAGACCGTAAAAATACTTCCGTTTCAGCGTCAATGGGAGCCTGCGGTGGTCAACGCTGCATTCATGGGAGCCCACATTGTGTCTAGTTAGTGTAGGCAGTCTGGTCAGCGGGTCAAAAGGGCAACGTGACGGACTCGTAGGAGAACGTGTGGCAGTTTCCAGCTGTTTGAGACATGATTCCCAGTGGTCCTGCTACTTCGTCTTGTTTCTTCTTCACTCGCCCGACACTCACATTTTTTTTCTCAAGAATTTATGGACACATTTCGTTATTTGCCTCCGACCAGATGGACGGAGGTTTATGAGTGTGCGGTGCATGTCGGACGGCGGCATCTTGGCCTGAGCACTAGACAGTCAGGACAGGCGTCATCAATCTTGGTCTCCAGTGAATGGCAGATTGGCTGCCATAAAGCGGGCCTGATTGCTGTGTGCTGTTCCCTTCGGAGGAGCCTCCAGGCCGAGGGAGGCATGGAAACAAAACCCTGCAGACAACGTGTGCGTTACGCACCAGGATTTATTCATCTATTTCCCATGATAGCGAGACAGGGATTAAATAAAACACATTGCATACAAATGAAGCACGCATGCCCGATAACAGAGCCCTAGAACTGGCTCACCTAAATGGAATGCGGCCGTAATTCATGTTAGTTAATCCACCTGTGCTTTTCCCACTCATTACTGTGAAAAGTGATTATCCTTAAACAACTGATGTGCAGAAATTATGTTAACTAACGAGGTCTGCAATAGTCGGCCAAACGGAGGTTCGGCCCCTATTTTGGAACAATAGGTAATCTAATAGTTCTATTGTTCAGGGGAGGTGTGCCAGCAGATGACTATCATGTGACTGGACAATGCTGGGATTTGATAATCATGAGATGTGTGTTGCCAAAACTTGATCTCTGTCTTTCATGAACTCAAGTACCACAACGTTACCATTACATTTTGCAACTTGCATTAATGTTTTGAAAGTTGAGTGAATTATTTCCAGATTGTGATTATTAAGTGATTATTTTGCACAAATATTTTCAGTCCCCAATGACTTATTGGAAACCCTAAATTTAAATTTTGTCCAATATTTTGATTTATATTTTGATACCTGATGACATTCCCAAAAGCCTCAATAGCCTCACAAATATCTTTCTAATAATTAAATGCTACACTAGAAGATGGGTTGTTCTTCAATGCCTGTGGGTCAATATTGTTGCTATATGCACATTGTCACCAATAATTGTAATAATAATTCCTACATTTATAACAATGAATTAACCCCACGCTAGAATTCCTCCCGCTCTCTGAAGCAAACCACTGTGGGTCGCTTTGGGTTACTCCCGTGGTAACATTAACACACACAGAAAAAGAGGGTTGGCGCAGGCAGCACATCAGGCCAGGCGAAGGGCCTTGCTGTGGGTATGAGTCATCTCCGTTGTCATGGCTACGCAGCATCGTCATTTGTTTGTGCGCTCCAGGCGAGGTCATCAATCACAGAGTCAACCTGGGGCAGCCTTAACTAATCACGTCCTGTAAACGTGACTGGCAGACGCTCCAGCCAACAGAGTCCTCGTTCACAGGACCTCGGGCTCTTCATGCAGGCCTTGAAGATTTAACTTCAGATGCAGCGGAGGGGAAGAACGGAGGAAGAGGAGCAGTGCAGAGTGGAGGGGGTGGATTAAGAGGAGGAGGAGGTGGTGTATGCAAGCAAAAGGAAGCAGAAGACAGTATTTACAGTTAACTAAATACCCGATAATAAAAATCTCGGACTCCTGGAGTTTCCATCTGAATTTGTAATTTTAAAGGTAAATTTAAAAAAGGTAAAAAAATATATAAATAACATTTTACCACCAGAATTATGGTTACATTTCGAAATTAAATATTTTGTTGCATATTTAAATATTACATGTGTTTTATTTAAATCTACATAATATATGTTTTGGTCATATCATAACCTTATTTTTGTTTTTATTATTGATTTTAAAGTTACTGAAGTGCTTTTTAGTGAAATCATAATCACTTTGTTTTTTATTATTATTAGCAGGGGAGTAGAAACTGTGTAATATGTTTTTATATAACTATAACTATTCTTTTTATCTTTTTATTTATTTCATGTTCGGTAAATATTATTTGTTTTATTAAATATACAGTATGTTCTTTACTGTTATATTTAGGATAAAATTCTGTTCCACTGCAATGCATTTTTGCTTTTTATTATTTGCTATCCTTTCCGATTCCTT